TGCTTTTTTGAAAGGCAAGTTTATACTAGAAAGTGTGGTCACTGCTCATGAGGTACTGCACTGTGTCCACTCTGGAAATGAGCATGGTTTAGTGATTAAGCTTGAGTATGAGAAAGCTTTCGACTGTGTGCACCTAGATTTTTTACAAGAGTTGTTGTTGAAGAGATGCTTTGGTCCCAAGTGGATTGCTTGGATCAAAGCCATTGTAAGGGGGGTCAGTAGGAGTTAAAATCGATGGTTGTGAGAGTGAATTTTTCCTAACCAGTAAAGGCCTTAGACAGGGTGATCCTATATCACCCCTACTTTTCAACCTGGTTGTCGATGTGCTTGCTAGAATGCTAATCAAAGCCACTGCTTCAAGGCTGATTGGAGGGCTTTGCCCTAGCTTCTGCCCTGGTGGAGTAAGTTGCCTACAGTATGCGGATGACACTATTCTTTTCTTGCAAAATAACTTGGAAATGGCTCAAAACCTCAAGATGGTTCTAGCTTGTTTTGAACAAGTGTCTGGCATGAGGATTAACTACAACAAGAGTGAGTTAATTCCTATTAAGATGTCTGACGATGAAACCATGAGGTATATAGATGTCCTGAAATGTAAAGAGGGGACTTTCCCTATTAAATATCTTGGGATACCACTGCATTATGACAAAACTTAGGAGAGAAGATATCCAGCCCCTCATAGATAAGATAATCAAGAGAATTGCTGGGTGGAGAGGGAAACTGCTTTCTTATAAAGGGAGGCTACTGTTGATTCAAGCTTGTTTAGCAAGCATACCTATTTACCTTCTTTCCTTTTTTTAAATTTCCTAAATAGGCTATTGAGTTGATCACTTCTCATATGGCCCATTGCCTTTGGAATGACTTTGAAGGACATAAGAAGCTACACCTAGCCAATTGGAGACTAGTGTGTATGAAGAAAGAATTTGGAGGTCTAGGTATACCTAACCTTCAAGAACTCAATATGTGTCTGTTGGGGTCCTGGGTGCAAACATATAATAAACGAGAGGGTAAAGTGTGGAGAAAGGTAGTAGACCAAAAGTATAACACCCACAAACCAAATATTTTTACTAGTAACACTCTCCATGCCTCCAGATTCTGGAAAGGGGTGATGAATGTAGTCAAGGCCATTAAATTTGGCTACAGGTGGTTAGTGGGTGATGGTAAGCAAATCAGGTTTTGGGAAGATACCTGGTTTGGCACTTCCCCCTTAGCTATTCAATATTGGCCCCTATATGCTATTCGCAACGAGACCTCGAAAACTATTAGTGAGATCTGGGATGGGGCCCAGGACAAGCTCTCTTTCAGAAGAAATTTTAATGATAAGATGATGGAATCTTGGTACCAACTAGAGGAAATTGTTAAGAAAATCACCCTAGTTGATGAAACAGACTCCCTGGTCTGGCAACTAGACAGTAAAGGAGTGTACTCTAGTAGCTCTCTATATCATGTGATTAATTTTAGAGTGGTGAAACCGGTGTTCATCCTTGTTGTGTGGAAACTGCTTGTGCCACCCAAAATTCATATTTTCCTTTGGCTAGTCTCTTATAATAAGATCATGACCAGAGATAATCTTAGGAAAAGACACATCATTAAACCTCTAGATTGTGTGTTTTGCTCTTCAGAAAAATCTATTCAGCATCTGTTTTTTTATTGTGTTGTTGCTAAAATTATTTGGAGTTTGGTGAGAGACCACTTCAAGAAAGACCTGGGATCTGATCATCTTGTTGGAAATATGCCCTAGAGGCAATAATAAATTAGTTATTATTATATTTCCTTGTTCATGATAATCGTTTATTATCCATGCTAGAATTGTATTGATAGGAAACTCAGATACATGTGTGGATACATAGACAACACCATGTCCCTAGTAAGCCTCTAGTTGACTAGCTCGTTGATCAATAGATGGTTACGGTTTCCTGACCATGGACATTGGATGTCATTGATAACGGGATCACATCATTAGGAGAATGATGTGATGGACAAAGACCCAATCCTAAGCCTAGCACAAGATCATGTAGTTCGTATGCTAAAGCTTTTCTAATGTCAAGTATCATTTCCTTAGACCATGAGATTGTGCAACTCCCGGATACCGTAGGAGTGCGTTGGGTGTGCCAAACGTCACAACGTAACTGGGTGGCTATAAAGGTACACTACAGGTATCTCCGAAAGTGTCTGTTGGGTTGGCACGAATCGAGACTGGGATTTGTCACTCCGTGTAAACGGAGAGGTATCTCTGGGCCCACTCGGTAGGACATCATCATAATGTGCACAATGTGATCAAGGAGTTTATCACGGGATGATGTGTTACGAAATGAGTAAAGAGACTTTCCAGTAACGAGATTGAACAAGGTATCGGGATACCGACGATCGAATCTCGGGCAAGTATCGTACCGCTAGACAAAGGGAATTGTATACGGGATTGATTGAATCCTCGACATCGTGGTTCATCCGATGAGATCATCAAGGAGCATGTGGGAGCCAACATGGGTATCCAGATCCCGCTGTTGGTTATTGGCCGGAGAGTCATGTCGGTCATGTCTGCATGTCTCCCGAACCCGTAGGGTCTACACACTTAAGGTTCGGTGACGCTAGGGTTATAGAGATATTAGTATGCGGTAACCCGAAAGTTGTTCGGAGTCTCGGATGAGATTCCGGACGTCACGAGGAGTTCCACGAATGGTCCGGAGGTAAAGATTTATATATGGGAAGTCTTGTTTTGGTCGCCGGAAAAGTTTCGCGCATTATCGGTATTGTACCGGGAGTGCCGAAAGGGGTCCGGGGGTCCACCAAGGGGGTCCACCTGCCCTGGGGGGCCACATGGGCTGTAGGGGTGTGCGCCTTGGCCTATATGAGCCAAGGGCACCAGCCCCAAGAGGCCCATGCGCCAAGAGATAAGGGAAAGGAAGAGTCCTAAAAGGGGAAGGCACCTCCGAGGTGCCTTGGGGAGGATGGACTCCTCCCTGGCCGCACCCTTCCTTGGAGGAAGGACCAAGGCTGCGCCTCCCTCTCCCTTGGCCCTATATATAGTGGGGGGGAGGGAGGGCAGCCACACCTAAGCCCTGGCGCCTCCCTCTCCCTCCCATGACACATCTCCCTCCTCCCGCAGCGCTTGGCGAAGCCCTGTTGGAATCCCGCTACTTCCACCACCACGCCGTCGTGCTGCTGGATCTCCATCAACCTCTCCTCCCCCCTTGCTGGATCAAGAAGGAGGAGACGTCGCTGCTCCGAACGTGTGTTGAACGCGAAGGTGCCGTCCGTTCGGCGCTAGGATCATCGGTGATTTGGATCACGACGAGTACGACTCCATCAACCCCGTTCTCTTGAACGCTTCCGCGCGCGATCTACAAGGGTATGTAGATCCACTCCTCCCTCGTTGCTAGATGACTCCATAGATTGATCTTGGTGACACGTAGGAAAATTTTGAATTATTGCTACGTTCCTCAACACATCTTTCGGTGGCTAGATTTTGGGTTTCTAATAAAAAGAATGGTGCTCTTAATGTTGCTAGTTCAGCCACCATTGGGTGCCTATGGAATTTTAGGAATTCCATGATCTTTAATAACATTGCATGGTCTAATATAAAGCAGGTGATAGGGAAACTTCAAGCTATGATCCAAAGCTGGATGATTCTTTCTGGGGACCAAGAAAGAACCCAGTTGGAAGCATTTGTCTCATTCCTGGCGACGCACCTGTCGAAGTCGCTCTGCTTGACGAGTGGCTAGGCGGCTGTGGAGCTCAACTGTTGGCGGAGAATCTCGAGGGAGAGCACTCAGTCTGCGTGCTGGGGAAAACAAAGACGGTGGGCGACTAGGCTCCTCAGCCGAAGACTGCGCCCCTGAAGGCAAGAAAATCATTCCAGGAGATTGAGGCCGTGGCTTAGGGGTTGTGCAAATTAGGAAACTGCTTCTCCTGCGTGGAATTTGCAGTATGATACACTTTCTTGCTTCACAAAACTTGTTAGTTTTTGCTTGACATTTGGCTTCCCCTCTCCTCTTGGAGTGAGGGGGATAAGCGAGAACCTGAACTGAACTAGGTAAGTCCGAGGTTTCATTTTAATGGAACCGGGGAAGGTTCCCTGTTCTTCTAAAAACAGGAAATCACGGCTCATATCAATCCAACACTCGCATATCCAAATGCAACGAGTAAGCTAAATTAGCACACTGGTATGCCACTTTATTTGTCCTGCTAATCCACAACCAAACACCTAATAAAAGCGTACAATACACAGTGCACATCGTATGGCAGCATGAGGCCTGCGATGGAGGTGGTGGGTGCCACTCCCCATTTTTTAGCCACGACAAGTAGGGGGAATTTGTCGGCAGCCGGCGAGCAGGGAAGATGGTGGCCGTGACCTAGTTTTAGCAAGGGGGAGCAACAATGACGTAGGGGATGGGGTGGAGGTGACCGCCAAAGCGGGAGCGCATATGTGTGGGGGGTGTAATGGCGCAACCATGCCCTGTATTGACCGCCAGCGAGCAGGGAAGACAACGGCCCTAAGGTTTAGTAAGGAGGAGCAGGTGGAGGCGACCATCGAAGCGGGAGCACTGGGTGGGGGGAGGGCCTCGAGACAGGGTCCTCTTCTCGTGCCCATACAGTCGCCACGTTTTTCCTTGGCTAGTACGTGGGAGTGGGCCAAAACAGAAATCACCAATGATCCACCCCTCTAATAGATCAAGTCAGCTGGCTGATTGAAAACGACCATTTTATAGATCAAGTCAGCTGGCTGATTGAAAACGACCATTTTATAGATCAAGCCAGCTGGCTGATTGAAAATATTTCTTTCCACCAATACTTTATTACGGGTAGCCCAAAGAACCAAAGCAAATGCGGCAAAGCCCATCCACACTAATCTCTTGTCTATTCCTATCGATCCTGCAAAGAAACGTTGCAAGTCGGAAAAAGCCGTCAGGTTCCAATTACAATTTATCGCTGCCCGAATTACACTCCACACGAACCGTGCAATAATGCATCTAAAGAGGATGTGATCACATGTCTCATCCTCACCACACCATACACATTTGCCCATCTCCCGGTCCATGCCTCTTAAGGACTTGATCTCCACTAGGGATACGGTTGTGGGCTACTTGCCACAAAAAGATCATAATTTTGGCCGGGACTCTTGCCTTCCAGATATCCATCACCTCCCACTTAGGACAGGACTTAAAAATTTCCTTGTAGAATGAGACTGTCAAAAACACACCGTCGCCATCTGAAATCTGTCGGAAAGGAAGATACATCCTCATTTGATCCCAGTCCTCTCTTTCGATCAGGCCAAGAGCTCGACGAAATCCTGCGGCCCAACGCCCATTAACCCATATATCCGCCACCCTGGCGTTTGGGTTGGCTGCAATCACAAGTAAGCATGGCTACTTGGTCCGAAGCAGGCCACCCTCAGACCAAAAATCATACCAAAACATTGTAAGAGCATCTCCGATAGATTATCTTCCACGCCCATTTGGTGATGAGGCACCAATTCTCCTATTTGCGCCCTATATGGCTGAATAGTTCGCTTCAGATCTGTAACGGGTGAATAGCCAGACTGACTCCTCTCATCTGTTCCTAAACAAGTGAACATCATGTTGTCGAAAAGGATTGCCATTTTTGCGGTTTATTTCGACTGGGTTGTTTTAAGGGAAGATTGGCAAAAGGAGTGCCAATGGATATGTATTAGGCTGCACTTCCCAGTTGGGTGTTCAATTGACTTGCAGTATTAATTAGGCTCAGCTCACGCGGTAACTCCAGGTGCCGGAACAGTGGCTGAAATCATATCATCACCAAGTAAATGTTACTCCGTCCGTTCCGAATTACTCCATGTGTAAAGAAATATAAGAGCATTTAGATCATTATTTTTCTTTACAGAGTATAAGATGTTTGTAAAAAAATTCTGAATTGGATGTATTTTAGTGTGTTTGTTGACTCATTTCAATTCATATGTAGTCCATATTGAAATATTCAAAACATATTATAATTGGAAACGGAGGGAGCATGTAGAGCACTAACAGTAACTCGTTTTATCTTAGCCGACGACTCGTCATAAACTTTTACTTGTAGTAGCGGGTGATATTGATACATATGCTTTATACTGCCATACCAGGCAAGCAACTTACTTAGCAACCAGTTACAGCATTTGTCGACAACAGCAGCACAATGGCTCCTAGGAATACAAGATACAGGTAGCCAGCCTCAAATTCTGCCCAGCTATGTACCCGAAAATAGGAGGAAGAGAAGGAAAATTGGCCGACAAAAAAAGAAACCTCAAGTTGTTCCAAATGAACGATCAGAGCGGTCGGAGACTTTCTACCGGTTCTGATTCCTCAAGCATCGAGGCCGCCTGAAAGCAATCAGCGGCCTCAGCTAGCCTCCCGTCATGCTTGTGGACCTGTCCTAGGTAGAACCAGGCCATCCGGTTCGTAGGCTCGAGCCTTAGGGCATCCGACAGGAAGCTCCTCGCCACAGGGAGATACTTGGGCCCTTGTTTCGACAGGAGAGCACCGATGGATACCTTGGATGGTACATGATCTACCTCTGTCGAGAGTGCATTCAAGTATGCAGCCAGCGCGTGCTGCGTTTGCTCACCAACCTCATGCATGTCACCTGGAAAGAAATGAACGTATCATGACTGTAAGAGGATATTTGACAGAAAAAAAAACTAGGGATGTTTTCCAACTTCTAAATTCAATAAATGCCTAGCCTAGATGAATGAGATAAAAAAAAGGTGAAGCAAAAACTAACACTTTCTATTTGCAGGTTTCATACTCTTTATTTGCAAGGATGAATTCATACTTCTACCAATAACCAGAGATGCACGCATGGCTCACGAGTCATGAACCGGTGACCAAGGTTTCCTCACCTTCTGCATGAAGTGTTGTGGCAGAATAAGTTTTCAGAGCTTTAGCCTTCTGCAAACATATTTCGGCATCTCTGCAGTACGAAAGACTAGCATACAAGTTGGCAAGACCTTGCCAAACTTCAAACTCACTCACTTTATTATCCCTTTCCTGAAACAAATTTCACAAAGTATGAGATGATAAAACAAGAACAAGGTGCATTGATGAAATTATAGTGGCAGTTAGTTTCAGCAGCTAATACAAACAAGAAAAGCAGTTCAAAGGATATTGCTATTTGAGCAGCATTATTCAGTGTCAGGATCCAATCCCACTCCAAACTAACTAGAAAAGGTATGGGCCAGGCATCATATCTAGAGTAACCTCAGAACCCTCTTACAAGCAAATAAACATTTTCAAGCAAGCATGAGCTTTTAATGAGACATTTGTGTAATTGAGAAGACAAACCTCTGTGCCATTTTTTAAAGACCCATAAGCCTTCCGTTGTGCCTGAACAAGAGCAAGAAGGGCACGGTATGCTTCAACTGCTTCCATGGGCAATGATTGGGCTGCTTTCAGTTTAGCCCTTATTCTAAGTAATGGCCCTTGTTCCCATTTTGCAGTTTCATCTAATGCAGCATCAGTCACCACTTCTGCTTCTGAATACCTCTGCTGTGCTGAAAGAACCAAAGATAGCAACCTCCAGCCCTTAGAAACAGATCCACCAGTTGTGTCAATGAACTGCTTTGCACATTTCAGTGCAGCCTGCATGTTTCGTTGCTCAGCGTACTCAACCCCCATGTCAAATATTAAATCTGGGTTGTGCCGGTCAAGGGAAAATGCCTCACCAAGTGATTTCAAAGCTTCAGCCTGTAAGAGAGATCTTTGATGATCGGACGAAGCAATTTTAGACTTATTAGCCAGACAACTCCCTAAGAGATGGAGCGCAACACTCCTTAAATGCCCATCTAATAATTCGTCATCAGTGATTGCTCTCTTTGCATACTCTACACCCTCAGAAGCAAGATAATAGTCCGAACTACATATCTTAGCAGCTAAAAGCAGGGCATTTATGTCATTGGGACTCTCATTTTTATTCAAAGACTTCTTTAGCAAATTTAATGCCGCTTCATTATCCGAAGCTGCAGAATAACAAAGGGCTAGACTATACCATCTCTCAGTTCGAGGGTATATTCCAGGCAAAACTTCTTCAAAATGCTTGGCAAGCACAGATGTCTGGCCACAGAGTGACAATGCAAAGGTTAGATGCTCCATCACTGAGGGATCCCAGTGAGTCTTTCCAAGGTACCACTTCTTCAATAGTATCATGAGCAGAAGGATTGCCTCTTCCAAATTATTCTTAGGAACAAATGAACCTTCGGTTTGTGAAGCCAAGCTCGGCGGACTTGCCTCAACACCACCATACAACAGAAAAACAGAAAACCTCTTCTGAATCCTCGTGCAGCATTCATCGTCGAGATTCCATTGACTAAGAAGAGCACGCCGGTAAGAAGCAAGTGCTTCTTGATAAGCCCCAGCTTGCTTCCAAAGTTCTGGGAGTAGCTCAACTGATTTACTGACAGTTTCCTGCAGCTTTTGTTCAACCATGACATCAGGTATGCCACGTTGGAAGATACTTTCAACAGCATCAAGGACGCTTTTACACTGTTGAGCGGCCTCTGCAAGTGAATGGATTCATGGTGTCACAACAAGCATAACAAAATGGCCAGAGTGAAAGTTTGCATTCGTACCTATTGCTTTCCCCAACTTTTGAAGAGACATTGCCTTCAAGTAAATGGCTTCAAGAACAAGGCTAGCAGCATGCTGTGATCCTGAATTCGATGAATCTGACCGTAGTTTGTTATTCCGCTTGGAAGATGGTTTTTCTGAAAGCGACGGTTGGAAACGCTGAATAGCAGCTTGAAGGTCTATTCCATCAAATACTCGAAGTGCAGCTTCCACATTTCCTCTCTGATATTCTAGTCTCCCGAGGAGAGCTCTTGCTTCCTAATTTTCAAAGCAAATACGTACATAAAAGGCAATGTTAGCAGCAACAAAATATAAGAGGTGCTGAGTATTCTTTGGCTACTGGCCTATCAGCAATCACAGTTTAGGAGCATTCAGCTAGTCAAGCACAAATAAACTTTTTAGCACATATTGGTACTCAGTATCAGTAATCACAACCAAACAATTTAGCTTATACTACTTGTTTAAACTTAATTAGGGTTCTGAACTCTGGGCATAAACTATGTCCCGTTGTCCTAAAAATGATACCTGAAGATCATATATTTTTATCAAAGATGCAGACAAGCATCTCTACTCTAACGTAATTTCTTGTTGATAGTTAAGCACGAAACTCCAAGATTTCTGATGTTTTCAAACTCATCAGAAAAGGAAATCGTGTAAACATTAGAACATGTGAGATAAACACAAAACTGTCGAATTATCATTTGTCGCAAAATATAGAGAAATAAGGGAAATGAAATCGTTTTGCCGCAACAAAGACTAAACAAGAACAAAGAGCTGCCCAACTGAACTAAACAAAGAAAACGATCTCTTTTTTTCACATCCAATTCCCATTGTGTTAATCATGCAAATTGCTTCTGAATTCGACCACACTTGTACCTTCCATCCATTACAAATTGCACAAACTTCTTACTGAGTGTTAGAATGGCTGGCTAGGTCCCAAATTCACTAGATAACATATCACCCACTGACCAAACCATGGTCAAACGGTTATACAACATCTAAAAGCAAGATCGTTTTCCACATCTATCCACGAGTTATTTCACTTTCTTTGAGTTCTGCATTCTCTTCTGAATTTTCAGATTTGCTCCAAAGAAAAAGCACGAATGCTGAATCCTCCAAACATGGAGAATCATTTCCACAAGATAGCATCTTAGTATCCTACATCTCCCCGAAATGCTATCTTATCTTTCAAGCAGAATGTATCATTCTAATCTAAATTCTTGCTCAGCTGACCAACTCAGAATGGCCCCGCAACCTTGTGAAAACAATGCCATCTCCCGCATGAAGAACCACCAGTCCTTGAAATGAGCAAGGAAATCAGGCACTACGATCTCCACGCGAAGATCCCGATCTTCCCCCAAAACGCATCAAAGGACAGAAGCAGATAGGCACAGTTGGACCCCAAAATTATCTAATCTTTTCATTCTATCTCGCCCAAACAGACCTCAAGAAACTTGCGCAACCGCCCAGATTAAGATTAGGCAGAAAGGAAAAAGAAAAACAGAAGCTAGAGGCAGCGATTCCGTACCTCGTAGTTGAGGGAGAGGCCCTCGCGGAGCGAGGACTCGGCCTCCTGGATATTGCCGTCGTCGACCCTCGTCTCCGAGGACTCGGACGCCGTCGCCGCCGAGGCGCCGGCCTCCGACTCCGGCGCCCTCTCCCTCGCCTTCACCGGCGAAGCGAACGCCCCCGAGTCCCCGGTCGGGCCCACCTCGCTCCCGTTGTCCGACTCTGGTGCCGCTGCCATTGCTGCCTCAGAGCCGCCGCGCGATCCCTCCGGCGAGCATGCGCTACGTCAATGCGTATGCGTGGGTAGTTGTTCTTGGCTAGTAGACGGAGGAGGCGAGATCCATGGCATTGGACTTCTTGGCCTTTCTACTCTGGGAGTGGGGAGCTCATCGTTTTATTTTTATTTTTGTTTCCCTTCGAGCTCGCCGGCACGTTCTTGTACTTGTAGTAGGTCTTGTGGCTGTTGTAGCATATTTTCTTTTCTTGTTGCATTTTCATTTGGGAGTTCATAATTACTGCAGTCTGGCAGCGAGTGTGCCTTACCATTTTAGATATAGATATATACACGTTTGCTCAATTTGAAATATATGTTTGGTATAGAAAGTTAGCCGTTAAACTTCTTAATCCATGGCACAGGGAGGATAATCTATTTAGGTTGGTTAGATACAATGACAGAGGTATACTTATCATTAGAAAATCATAATAAGAAAACACCATAAATACTCACCCAAAAGTAACAGCGAAGGTCGTACTCCCTCCGTTCCTAAATATAAGAGATTCCAATACAAACTAGTACATACGAAGCAAAATGAATGAGTCTACACTTTAAGGTCGTATTGAAATCACTAAAAGAACTTATATTTAAAAATAGAGAGAGTATATTATAAACTTGCAAAGTATTTTGTTGCAAAAAGATCAGATCTATTAAAAAAGCATCTCAAGCATAACAAAAACTACATCGAAGTTCCAATACCACCGAAGGACTGCTATTGTCGCTAGAACGAGCCGTCAACGTGCCGCTATCACCGCTCCCCTACCGGAGCCGGCTTAACCTTGTCGATGGCAGTCGGAAAATCTTCGTGCACGTGCCCCTAAGGACCAGTGCCCTAGAGAGTGGTCGTCGTTGTTGAACCCTTGATAGATCTTAGGTATCTAACATCAAATCTCACCACGTGACGAGAAACATTAACCTCACTGCCCCAAGAAGATGGCAGGAATCTACGTCGGAGCTTTGTCGACTACTTCCAGACAGACGAACTCGAGGAGGATCGGAGCCTGCAAGACAAACTCGAACAAGAATCACTACCATCCTCCTGAGCACGCACCTGCGAGGACTAAGGGTCAGTTTGGTTCGCTTTCTCACGTCTTTGTGCTTAGCCTGAAGCTTGCCTGATACTAGCCTGAAGATTGATTGTGCCCTGAGTAAGAAAAAGCTTGCCTGGAGCATCTGTCATATTAATTAGCCTGGCTAGAGCACCAGACACTTTCATTAGCCTGGCCCAGGCGTCCCCTTCCTTGTGCCTGGCGTGCTGAAAGTAGTAGCCTGGGAATATTTAATACTAGAAGCAGTACGGTCTGCTCTTTGTATACATTTTAAACACTCAACAAGCAGCAGCATACAAGGACGCGATCCAAACACGCACGCAACAGGCTAGCCTGGACAGGCAAAATTTTCCATCGGTCCAGGCACTATCCAGGCAGTTGATTCTCTCAGGCATATTGTCCAGGCTTCGAACCAAACTGGCTCTAAAAGTCCTAACCTAAACTACTAACCAGAGTAAAGGCACCGGGATTCCCCTCCCACCACCGGCCACCGGAGCGGCAGACAGAGGGGAGACATGTAAAGTTGGTAAGAAGATAATTTTGAAATGGCGAGACTATTTGATGACCGACATATTCTCCATTCTGATCTTGAAAATGTCGATAATAAAGAGTTAATATAACATGGGTTGTGAGGATCTGAATTAACCATGAGAAATCTTCTCAAATGACGCTTGTGTGTCATGTCTTGGACTTTTGAGATATTACGTCATTTCTATAAATGAAAAAATAGTATTATGGTAAATATGTACTAACCAAAATGTTTTTCTCCTCCCCACGAAAGGCGACTTCCAGTCGACGAGGGTTTCTTCCCTCTCGTTAGCGCCACCGTCATCTGCCCTTGTCTCTTGTGGCCTTAGGACCATGGAGGCGTGATGTACCCTAACTTTTGCCGACGAAAGGGCTCATGTTCCGTTTTAGGTATTTTTTTAGTTTGGTTAGGGTTTGTGCCCTGCTCAAGAAGGTGAGGCGGCTCTCTGAAATGAGATAAGGTTCTCCCGGGCCCATCTCCATCCCGGTCGTGCATCTAATGTCGTTGGAGGGCGCATGGAGGTGTGTCTCCAACGGATCTCGCAAGATTCGATCGGTGTTTGTCTTCGATGGATCTACCTTCGTTCATCTATGATTCGTGTGTCTACCCTTTCGATCCTTTCAATCTATGCTTCTCTTCATTAGTGACGGCTGTTGTTCTGGGCGTTCGTCCCGTGAGGACCTTAGAATGACGCCTTTTCGATTTTTTACTTCAACAAGGTTTATCTGACTCCTGTAAAAAAGGAATGATGACGATGACGTGTCATCAACTTGCTTCAGTGATTGTGGTCATCTCTAGATGATCTAAGGACCTAGTAGATGTAATTTCTGTTACTTCAAGTGTTCTTTCTACTACCATGACAATTGTTGAAAATATCAAAAGTTTTTTTAAGAAATAGTACTCCCTTTATTTCAAATTACTTGTTGCGGAAATAAATATCCGGATGAAAGGGAGTATACAAATGGTAGTATGGTCGCTTCATAGATCATTTTGCTCGAACTTTTCTTTTATGCGGGTTATTTTGCTCCAACTTTTACGTGTTTTTTTTTCAATGATGCTACAGGTGAAGGACGCACGTATCTGTAGCCAACAACAAAAATGCCTGACTATGGTACTTTGTTGTGTTGTACCCCTAGCCAAAATTTCCTTGTCTGCCTGTGGCGTGGAATGGCAACTCAGCCGGAGCTTTCTGGGAGGTGCGCCCTACCGCTGAACGGTCGCCACGCTTTATTCGATAACGGGGCACTGGCAGGTGGCCCCAGTGCGAACCAGGAGCAGGACCCGCTTATGTAAAGGCCTGGCTTTGCTGCTGTTCAAAAGAAAAGGTCTGGCTGTCGCTCCGGCTTTCTCTTGTTATGATCGATGTTGGAGCAATGGAGCAGGAGAAAAAGGCAACTGGCCCCCTCTCTCCGTCAACACCAAAAGTATGAATTGTGTGCCACATACATTATTCTCACCAAGCATTTGAATGGTCATATTACAATTTGCAATCAGAACATCCCATCTAGAAATGTTACAAGGCCATTTTTTAAGACCTTGATGTAAGAGCTTAAATTTTGCAGCAAGAACTTTGGTACTGCCTCTGAATCCTAATATTATACTCCCTCCGTTTTTATTTACTCTATATTAGATTTGTTTAAAATCAATTTTTATATACTTTCAATAAGTTTATAGAAAAATATATTAACATATACACCACCAAATCAATACCATTGGATTCACTATTGCAAATATTTTCACATCATACAAATTGTTATTGTAAATGTTCATATTGTTTCTACAATTTTGGTCAAACTTTATAAAGTTTGACTTCAATCAAAGCTAATATGAAAAGTAAATAAAAACGAAGGGAGTGCCTAAATAGCTGATCCCCACTATCTCAATTCTTTCAACATGCACACATGACAACTCATCATTCCATTAATTATTCCTCTTAACATGCATTGAAAATGATATTATATCCTTTCTCAACATGCACACATCCCAACTCACCACTGAAAGTGCTAGTGATCGACTAGGGGGGGGGGGTGAATATGCGATTTTTAACAAAGTCTTCAAAACATGGAAGTTTCGAAGACAAACAATAGAAGTAAACCTATTACCACGCAGCGGAAGGTAGACTACACTAGACAACCTTAGTCAAGTAACCAAAGAAGTGAAAGCACAATGACTAATAGTAGCTAGGCAGTAAGGATCAGGTAGGAAGATATTGTGAAGCCAATCAAAACAAGTAATCACTTAGTGAAGACAAAAGATAATGCAATCATGCAATGACTTCACAAGGACCAACAGTAAGTAAAGGGAAGGGAAGGAAGAAACCAGTGACTCGTTGAAGACAATGATTTGTTGGACCAGTTCCAGTTGCTGTGACAACTGTATGTCTGGTTAGGGCGGCTAGGTATTTAAACCTGAGGACACACAGTCCCGGACACCCAGTCCTGAACACGTAGCTCAGAACCCTTAGTCCTCACTGTATTCCCCTTGAGCTAAGGTCACGCAGACCTCGCCCAATCACTCTGGTAAGTCTTCAAGGTAGACTCCCAAACCTTCACAGACTTCGTTCACTGGCGATCCACAATGACTCTTGGATGCTCAGAACGCGACGCCTAACCGGCTAGAGGATTCACAGTCCTCAAGTGTAATAAGTCTTCAGATCACACAGACAGGACGACTTAAGTGATGCCTAACACTCTTTGGCTCTGGGTGGTTAGGACTTTATCCTCGCAAGGAATTCTCTCTCAAAGGCTTCGAGGTGGGTTGCTCTCAAACGACAACAGCCGTACTTTAACTCTGAGCAGCCAACCGTTTATGGTTGTAGGGGGTGGGCTATTTATAGCCATTAGGCAACCCGACCTGATTTGTCCGAAATGACCCTGGGTCACTAAGGAACTGACACGTGTTCCACCGGTCAGATTTCAAACACACACGGCAACTTTACTTGGGCTACAAGCAAAGCTGACTTGTCCAACTCTGGACAAGATTCGCTCTCATAGTCTTCACTCGAAGACATAGGATTTTGGTTAAGCATCACTTCAGTCATTCTGACTGGTTCTCTTGGACCCCACTTAACAGTACGGTGGTTCCTATGACTCAACAGAGAAGAAAAAGAACTACGAAGGATCTAAGTCTTCGCGCTCCATAGTCTTCATGCAATGTATTCTCTTATCATAGTCTTCAATGTGAATGTCTTCACATACCACCTTTCACTTCAATGTCTTCATACATTTTTAGGGGTCATCTCTGGTAGGAAAACCGAATCAATGAGGGACTTCTACCTGTGTTATCCTGCAATTCTCACAAACACATTAGTCCCTCAACTAGGTTTGTCGTCAATACTCCAAAACCAACTAGGGGTGGCACTAGATGCACTTACAATCTCCCCCTTT